GATGGAACCCGGGAAATTTCTTGGGTTGGATGATGGAACCCGGGAAATTTCTTGGGTTGGATGATGGAACCCGGGAAATTTCTTGGGTTGGACGATGGAACCCAGCACCTTTCTTGGAATTTAGGAATTCCATAATGTGTAATTATAAGATGTGTGGATATCCATGAGCCACCGTGGGTAGATCAGCATCTGATTAAGTCAGATCTAGTTGAATTGCTCTCATGTTAGAGCTATGGCACTACTTGCGCAGCGCGAGCATGACCTGCGGCAGGTCGGCGCCCCTCATCCAACCAATGTCCTGCAGAAAGGCAGCTCATGTGGGAGTGGGTGTGGCTCTTTGGTCAAGTGGTCAAGGATTGAAGGATTGACTGGATATCCAGAGCAGCATGTTTCCCTTTTTACCATGGTACAACATAAACATGCTGAATAAAAGGTTCAGTCCTTGAACTGCTTGATGGGCGATGTTCGATCAGCCAGCATGTTCCTCAGCAATGAGTGCCAATACATGCTTTGCTGCTCACACCTTTTCAGACCTGTACTATTCCATGTTGGCTGGCCAATCTACAGAGTTCCTATTCCATGTTGGCTGGCCAATCTTTTCTATGGAGAAGTCCCAGGGTCTTCTGATCTGCGATCGCCTTGCGCACTTCAGGCCGTTGGGAAAGAAACAGCTCTGCGAAGGCTGTCCCGAGCAACTTCGGGTAGTGTTGGCTCATCTTCAAATCTCGTCCTCCTGAGACCCGGTGAACGCCTGAAGTGTCCACATACCTAGGCTAGCTAGGAGCTGGCAATGTACCCAGTGAAGCCCATATGGTTTCTGTTTGGACACATGCATGACCCCTATAGGCGGCCAGGGTGCTTGACCGACATCTCTGCACCCCATTCTTTGTTTCGAGGAAGTGGCAGGAACAACTGCTCTATGAACTTGTAATTGGAGTAGAGCAGCGTTGGCTTTGGGCCTGGGCTAGAGAGAGATGCTGTAGATAGATGGCTTAACTTGGCTTTGGGTCCCACTCAGCAACAAAAAGAAATCTTTCTGAGAGGTGTGAGCCAGTTCTGTAGCATACCAACAACATTTGGAGTTGCGATTTGAAGAAACCAATTTTGAGTCTGTCCTTTGGTATCGTTTGTACAGCTTGACAGGCCCGCCGGCAAGTCCATCAGCCCGGATCCCTGATGCATGGCAGGTGTCAATCGCCCCCGTAGCTTCCCAGCCAGAGGAACACCTGAGCAGGTTGCTTACTTAGCGGCTGGTAGGTTGCCCACTCCGAAAATGACACATCTCTTCCACATATCTAGGTTGAGGTGCTTTGTATACCGTTGTCCGCTTGCACAATTCCTGGAATGCAGGGTGCCATTCCATCAAAGAGCTTCCTGGTTGCTCCACAACCCAAGGGATGCGAAGGATGCTCATCATCAAGAGGGCCGTGACCACTCTATAGATCATACAATTCCTGAGATGGGCAATCAGCGCACTGCAAGAAGACCCGGGTTGTATAATGTAGACAGTTGATCAATATAGCCACAGCCACACATGTGGAGATGTAGAGCTGTAAACCCTATGTAAGGGTGGCTTGATTCATCAACAGTCTACATTAGAGCTCAAGGTTATTTTTTTTCGTGAATCCTTTCCACAGTGGCGAAGACCACTCTGTAGCTAGTCCCCCATCATCCTACGGAATTCAAATGGCTCTCTGCACATTCCTGGACCCACACATCTTAAAGGTCCAGGCATTGAGAGATACCCCACACAAATGTTCCACATTGGTGAGCCCTGCCCCCGGTCAAAACAACATGCATATTGCATTGGTTGAAGCATGAAACACGTGAAAGAGCTCACCAAGGAGAACATGCACTACACAGCTAGCCAGACAGACCTCTACTCAGCCTGGTCAGCAGAGGCTGGCAACCCCATGATCGCCCTCGCCTTCTCCCATGCCTCGTTGATGCCATTTGCAAAGGAAATCCTTGGGGCAAAGAAGAACAACTCAACACTTGAGGGGTTTGATGACAAACATGGTGATCACCTGGGTGGCAACACTCTAAACCCTGCAAAGGGACGATTTTGTGTTCTCCCCAGTGGGCTTCACCCCGCTGACATCCGAGCGAGGCTTGAAGGCTTGCTGGCGAAGCAAGATCTCAAGGCGGGCAGAGCCGTGCAGCCTCCTTAAAGATCAGTGTGGAAAAGAAACCTTTAGATATAGAACATGCTAGAACATTCTACTGTGGTCCCTACATCGTTTTGTCATTCCAAAAGAATGCAAACAAGGAACACAGTATAGGAATGATTCCCATGACGTGCTGCTTGGGGCCACAGGCTCATTGGCAACTTGCGAATGATGTCTTGGTAGGCTTCAGTAAAAGTAGACAGCAAATCACCGGCTCCAACATCAGGCTCTGCTCGATTGGAGTGGGCTGAAGGACTACGAGGCCGCTTGCCATTACTCTTAGTACTGTCTTCCTTGGGAGGCTTGGACTTGACAGCTTTGGACGTCTTGGACTTACGCTTCTTTGACCCCTTACTCTTGGAACGCTTCTCCCTCTTCTCATCCACCCTGACTGGCGATGGATCCAACGCTGCCAGGGCCTCATTGAAGCCATCTGGGTCCTTCAGTCTGGAAGCCAGATGAGAAATGATGGGGATGAGGGATTGGGACACGCGACTATGTTGGAACTGCAAACCAACACAGGCCAAGTACGCTCAAAGACATTTTGTTGGGGCGCCTTTTATTGTCCTTTTGGAAAGCCTGTGAAGAGCAACAAACGCTACCTATAGGGTCCGCTTTCCTGTATGCAGATTGAAATAGTGATATATAAATCTAAAGAGCTATATATATATTTATATAGTAATATATATATATGTATCTAGCGACCTTATATGTACATAGATATATAGTGACACAACTAGTTACAGAGTGTTCAGCAGACTCTCCTTTCCATCGTAGATGACCAAAGCTTCATGGGGGAGCTCATCAGCAGTACTGATATCAGCAATGCAGGCATCAAATGAAGCCTTATCATCGACCTCGTCGTAGCCCTCGTGAACCGCAGGGTCAATGTGTTGCCAAATGTCACTTCCCACATCGCTGACCTCAGGGAAACATTGACTGTTTTTGAAGGACCCTGGAAGTTCAGTATTTTATTTGCCCTACATGTACAAAACCTCTCCACCCGGTGACACCCCTACTTGGTTTGTGGAGTATTGGTGGTGCCTCCGTGCTGTTGGACTCCACGTCAGACAGCTCTGAGGAATCACCATCATGAAGAGGCACATCAACACCCATGAAGTTGTCGGGGATCCCATCAGTTGTGACACTTTCATCATCGCTGGATCCACCGAAACGATCAGTCTCAGCTTCCAGTTCAGGTGCACAGGGCTTCTGGTTGCTCCTCATTTGATCCTTCAACAACTGGGTCCACACAGAGCGGCTGGAGTGTGGACTGTTCTGCCACTTCCTGGGAGAGAGATGCGGCGTTCAAAGAACCACTCACCATGGAACCACCAACCCCGAAAATGCCACCAACCCCGAAAAGAGACACACATGCATGTCACCACATGTCCTTCGAAGTCCAGACCAGAGCTTTCCCAGCTTCTTGGCACAGGAAATCTGTGCATCAGTAGCTGATCCCTCCAAAGAACCCATCTCCTCAGGACGCGGGACTGCACACTCAACCCCAACCCAACGTTGAGCTTACTTTGCTCCACTTTCCTCAATCCACACTGCATTGCCGAGGCACCTCCGCTTGAGAGGGTCGGAACGCAAGGCCCTCAATGCAGGACGGATAGCGCTGCGTTTGAAGAGGGTTGTGGGATGTTGTGGGACTTGACGAGTTGCTCACAACCATATGTCTAGTTTGTTCAATATGTTTTCCCACTTGAGTCCCAGGCCTCATGGTAAGCATTGAAGCTATCCAAGATTATCCGAAACTCCTCCATGTTGGGCTTCCGGAATTGGAACTCATTGAACATCAACATGCTATGGACTGCCCAGAAATTCTTGATCCTCAGAGCTTGTGTGCCAAGTGTGTCTAGGGCACCGCTAAACGCAATTGAAAGTCAAAGCACTTGGAGAGATAAAACCTACAATTTAGCCATGGCTCAATGTCCTTTCTTTTGTTGTGGTTCCTTTGGCGAAGTCGCCAACCAACAAGTTGCTCTTGGGGATCTCGGTCAATGGTGGAATGGCCTCATCCCTGATTTTCTTTGGAACAGCTTGAGCCATGTCCAATCCAAGGCTGGTCAGAGCGTCAACATACTGCGCCCACCCATCATGGGGCGAGCAGGCTCTCCACTCAGCTCTATCAGCCACAGACGGCATGAAAGACATGGCAGGAAAAGCACGAGTCCAAGCTAGCTTCTAAACAAACTTGTGGCTGCAGTTGAGATTGAATCTTGTTTTGAAAGGAACAAACAAATTGCC